GCAGAAAACCCCTTTCTCACGGCCCTCCCGCAAACATCTTTCCATAAGAGAAATCAGCCTTGGGAGGCGTGAAAAGAGGAGGGTCATAAACATTTTCTTTACTAGGGGAGGGAGCAGAAGGAGCTGCCTGTAGGGGCTGTAAAGCGAGGCGGCAGTGATGCCAAGCAATAAGAACTGAAGCTGGGATGTTCATGTCACGAATGATGTTACCGATACATTCCCATGCTTCTACATCAAGGTTATCCCCGAGACTCAATTAAAAGCAGAAGCTGGGTAAGGGCTTCTTCTGACACCTTGAGCTTGGAGGCCTTTAACAATCCCAACAACTGGGTTTTGTGTTGACGCTGTTCAGAAGAAAGAGAATTTCCCATAGCGAGGAGGAATAGCAAAATGAACGAAAGAGTGATAGGAAAACTCCTGGCCCAAAGCCTGAAATCCCTTGAGGGAGCATACGAGAAAGCCCCACCGCTCCCAGGGCTATAGCAGCCCGAGATGAGAACGTCGGGGAAAGTCCTGCCCGCGGAAAAACCCCGCTGCTCCTGGGGCTGTAAGAGCAGCCCGAAATGGACGTGTCCTGTACTTACCACCTTCAGGGATTGAGTGCGAGGATGTCTACAGCATCCTCACACGGGGCACCATCTGTTGCAGCGACGACGGTTGTCGGGACAGTGGAGACAGTAACCAAACACAGCTCTTACAGAGAAGTGGGGCCAGGAGGGTCACTCTGAGGAGTCGACCCCGGCTTCAGTCCCACGAGTTTATTTATACTCAATACAGCAAGCAGTGAAGCAAATAACAGAACATTGGGCTTTGGGTGTGGGCAAGGGAGAAGGAATTCAGGTAAACAAGCCAATCAGTAAAGGGACAATAGGTTTGGGAAAACAAGTCGTGACAAGTCTCAACATGTTGGGAGCAAGTCTCAACATTCTGTGCAGCATAGAGGCCTGTGGGGGCTGCAGTTGTCAATAGTGCAGCCATGTTTGAATGGCATATATCCCCACAACCTTGGGCAAGTTACTTAGCCTCTCTGAGCCTGTTTCCTTACCTGTAAAATTGGATTAATAATTGTAGTACCTGCCTCTCAGTGTTGTTCTACGTATGTAACTTGCTGTGCAAATAATACTTATCGGGTAATGTTAGCAAATTTAGCAATTGTCCATGTCATAAACGTTCCTAGACATAAAAGTCATCAAAATTCATTGAGTAATGCCTTAGGCTGGGTTCTCTAGAGAAGCAAAACCAGTGAAGCATGTGTGTGTGTGTGTATACATATAGATATATGTATAGAGAGAGAGAGACAGAGAGAGATTTATATCAAGGAAATGGATCACACATTTGTAGAGGCTGGAAAGTCCCAAGTCTGGGGGTGAGGCATCATACTGGGGGTTTCTCCTGACTCATGGAGCTGCAGGGACTGACAAACTCAAGACTGGCAGGTCAGACAGCAGGCTGCTGACTCAAGTCCTAAGAACCGGAGTTCAGATGATGACGAGTTGAATGCAGAATCCAGGGGAGAGCAAAAGCCAGTGAGCTTTGCCAGAAGGTCCATATATATTAGATGCAGGCCCCACCCCCAAGGACATCCCTTCAACTAATTGGCTGCTCATAGCAGATCTCACCATGGAGGTGATTACCTTATATCAGATCTCATTATGGAGGTGATTACATCATTACATAACTGAAAACTACATCATAATTGCCAGACCACTGAGAATCATGGTCTAGCCAAGTTGACACACAACATTAACCATCACAAGTACCTACTGTGGGTCAAGCCCTTTGCCAGGGCGTCACCAAGCCCATGGTCTAGAAAGGGAAAGGGATTTGTTAAAAAAAAAAAAAAAAAGAAGGCGTGCAGTACGCAAGTTGCTTTAACAGAACACAGCTGTGGGACAAAGGCATGCATGGTCAAGTCCCTCTTTGAGAAGTCAGACAAGGTTTCACAGAGGAAGACACCTTTGAACTGGTAAGCAGATAAAGGTATTCCTGGCTGAGGTACCTTGTACATGGGGTCTGAAGGCTTTAAAAGATACTTCATATTCTTATTAGTGGATCAGCAAAAGTCAGATAGACCTTGAGTGCAAGTGGCAGGTATTTAGAAAATGAGGCTGAAGAGGTAGATTGGTCCCACATCCTGGAAGACCCCCTACACTATCCCAAGAGTAAGAAGGTTTGTCCTGTAGATGATGAACCGCCATTGAAGGAAGCAAAACAAAAACAAAAAAGGAGCAAAATTAAAACATAGTATTAGGGATTTAATTGTGTTCCCCCCCCCACCCCCCGCCAAGAAAAAAAAATATGAGTTGGAATCCTTACTCCTATAGCTGCGGATATAATCTCATTTGGGAATAGGGTTTTCTTTGTTATGTAAATTAGGCCATATCAGTGTAGGATGTGTCCTAAACCTAACCACTTCTGAGTTATAAAAAGAGCAAATTAGATACAGAAGTAACCACATACTGTACTGGGGAAGACAGATGCCATCTGAGGATATCCAAGGAACCAAGGAATGCCTGGAAAGGAATCAACACGGCTGAGACCCTGATTTGGACTTTCAGACTCCAGAACTGTGAGAAAATACATTTCTGTTCTTTAAAGCCACCCGCTTGTGGTATTTGAGTTACAGTAGCACGAGGAAGGAGCCCTGGTGGCGCAGTGGTTAGGAGTTGGGCTGCTAACCAAAAGGTCAGCAGTTCGAATCCACCAGTCACTCCTTGGAAACCCTATGGGGCAGTTCTACTCTGTCCTATAGGGTCGCTATGAGTTGGAATTGACTCCATGGCTCACAACAACAACAACAGTACTTCACAAGTACCTGAGTGGTGCAAATGGTTAAGTGTTTGGCTACTAACCAAAAGGTTGGCAGTTCAACCAGAGGCACCTCAGACGAAAGGCCTAGTGATCTGTTGTTGTTGTTAGGTGCCATTCAGTCAGTTCCAACTCATAGCAACCCTATGTACAACAGGACGAAACACTGCCTGGTCCTGTGCCATCCTCACAATTGTTGCTATGTTTTAGCCCATTTTGTAGACGGTGTATCAATTCATTTTGGGTCACTGAGTTGGAACTGACTTGATGGCAATGGGCCTGGTGATCTATTTCCTAAAAATCAACCATCAAAAACCCGATTGAGTACAGTTCTACTCACACACATGAGGTCACTGTGAGTCTGAACCAACTTGGCAGCAACTGGTTACTGGTTAGCGCTTCATAGTTTGAAAGTGCTATCATGGCCATGATAATTTTTTGTTTTCACCAAGACAGGAATTATTTTTCCCATGCTATGTGTTATAGAACAAAACTCAGAGGTGAAAAATGGCTTTCCCAAGATCACACAGCTAGAAAGTGCCAAAAATATTCACCCAGATTTGATAATATCCTACACTGGCAAAGCAGAGGGGAAACGGGAACTCTCATACATTTGTGGTCAGAGTGTAAATTGGTCCAGCTTTTCACAAGGGCTCCTTGTCAATATTTATTAAATGTGGTTACTCTTTGACCTGGCAGTTCAACTTTTGGGTCTCTGTCTTAACCTGAGCCTCCACAGAAAGCAGAGCCTAATATAAGATCTTGCAGGCAGGGAGCCTACCCTGAGAAGTGATCCTAGTGAACTGGGGTGAGTACAGGGCTGGGAAGAGTGAAATAGGAGGAAAGAAAGTCAATATAAAGGTACGTTATCAAGGTGGTCACTGTTTTGTACCACTAGGGCTTGATCCTGCTGGAATGTTCTGAGGAGTCATGGAAAATGCCTGAGGGATGGAAAAGGGGGACATTTATCCATAGGCTCCCACCCTACGTTGGTCAAAGTTTGCCCCATAGGATGTTAACTCTTTCACACTCCTATATTTGTCAAGTGGATTCTCAGAGGTGTCTCAAGAATGTATTCAAGTATTAACTATATCGTTAAAAATAAAAAGATTGGGAGATGGAGGGGGAAACGAAGACACAACTCTTATGGGACACTGAACTTTTGTTAAAGATGATGGAAAAATTCAGGAATGGTAATGATTGAACAACGTGACGAACATATTTAATGCCACTGAACTGAACTGTACATGTGAAGATTGTTGAAATGGACAATGTGTTGTTACCTACATATTTACCACAATTAAAAAAAAAATCAGTGGGTGGCACATGGTAAACACTCAATAAAAGTTCACTGTGATTATTTTTATTATTATCACTACTGTCAGCATCAGTTAATGGACTCAATGCATGCCAATGTGATTAAAAGCCTGAATATTACCCAGAGGTGGGGGGGAAAGATTGGGAGAAGGTTTGGGAAGGGGCCTGGAGTTGGCACTAGAACACAGATCTCCAGTCATGTCTAATTGAAGAGTCTGGCAGATGGGGCTCGATGGAACTGGAATTATGGGGAATAGAATCCAGACTCTGAAGGTGGGGAAAGAGACCTGGCAGGAGATAGGGTGTTTTAGTCCTCTACCAGGAGACTTTCCATATCTCACAGCAATCACACACCTAGGTATATACTCAAGGGAATTAAAAGCAGGGACTCAGACACTTGTGCATCAGTGTTCGTTGCAACATTATCATAATAGCCAAAAGATGGAAACAACCCAAGAGTCCATCAAAAGATGAATGGATAAACAAAATGTGGTATACTTGTACAATGGAATATTATTCCACCATAAAAAGGAAAAATGGGCTATGTAGTTTCCCAACTGCAATTGTATTAAACTCTTAATAAAGCTCTCCGTTTTAACTTGAAACAGGGTTCAAGTTTTTCTCTACAACAGTTTTTACCACAATAAAATTTAATGCCCACCTGCCTTATATCGGCTGACTCTCTCTAAAACCCTGGGCAGCAGGCCAAAAATGGGAGAGCTACCAAAATCCCACTGCGCACGCGCATTTCCACCGGCGCAAAGCCCTTCTAATTCAGAAGCCTTACGTCAAAGTCTACGTTGAAAGACGTAGGCAAGGCGGCGAGAAAAACGCAGATTTCGGATCACGTGATGCAGTGGGAGTGTCGTTGACTCCTCCCGCTCCAAGATGGCGTCTTTGCTGCAATCCGAGCGGGTTCTCTACCTAGTCCAGGGAGAAAAGAAGGTTCGGGCCCCACTCTCGCAGCTTTACTTCTGCCGCTATTGTAGCGAGCTGCGGTCGCTGGAATGTGTGTCTCACGAGGTAATGGAGTCGTCCCGTAAAGGGTGTGTGTGTGTTGTGGGGGTGGGGGGGTGTTCATCCTAGTCACCGCGACCGGCGAGGAAGTTCCGCCTGTTGGAGGCCGGTAGTCATTTTCCCAGCTTGTTGATTGGCAATTTCTTCTGTCCCTCAGATTTGGCTGCGATTTAATTTGCTTATAATTTGTCACTTGGAGAGGTGGGGCGGCTTCGGGTGGGGCTGAGCGGATCTTCTGGTTCTAGAGCGCCCTCTGATTGGACAAACTTGATTGCGGAGGAGGGAACCCTGCCTATCTCCTGGGTGGCTTGGGGAAGAAAGAAGTGTAGGGTGCATAGTTCGGGCCAGCTGAGGAACGAGACAGCTTCCACGGGTTGATTTAGCGGGCGAAGGGGCGCGGTATTCTCATTCATGCCCCCACCCATCCTGGAAATTCTGCCCCTACTTTGACCAGAAACGGAGCCCTCATCAGACTGCCTTGCCCTGCTTTCTGGCTGAGGCCCAGGCCTGCAGTACGGAAGAGCTTGGGGTGGAGTAAGCTGAGTAATAAGTGCTTAGAATGTGGTCTGTCATGTAAGAAGCGCAAAATGTTAAATTTGTGGCTCTTCTCCTGAGGGTGCAGTGCTGTGCTTCATACGCACAGCGGGTATTGAAGATGGGATTGTTCAGAATGTAGAAGATCCCCTGCTCTCAGAAAATCAACAGATAACAGCAAAACCTCAAAATTTCTGCAGCACTTAGCATATCTTGTTCATTGGGTGAGCTTTGGGGATTAAAAGAAAAATATGACATACACCCTGCTGTTGAGTAACTCACCATCTAATGAAGGAAAAGCTGACAGTAAAAACAAACAAACAAACAAACAAACCCGTTGCCGTTGAGTTGATTCCGACTCATAGGGACCCTATAGGACAAGTAGAACTGCCTCATAGGGCTTCCAAGGAGCAGCTGGTGGATTGAAACCGCCGACCTTTTGGTTAGCAGCCAAGCTCTTAACCATTGCACAACCAGGGCTCTGCTGACAGTAATAATAGTAAACCCACTGCCATCGAGTGGATTCCAACTCATAGTGAACCCGTAGGGTTTCTAAAGCTGTAAATCTAAGAAGCAGACTGCCACATCTTTCTCCTGTGGAGCCACTGGTGGTTTCCTATCACTGACCTTTAAGTTAGTGGTTCATCGCTTTACCCACTGCACCACCAGGACTCCTTGCCTGTAGTAATGATTACCATTTATTCAGTACTTTCCATGTGCCAAATGCTTTGCATAATCTCCTTTAATCCTTCCTACAAACTAATGAAATGGGTACTTCTTTAAAAAACCATTTTACAGGTAAAGGAACAGAAACAGAGTGCTTGCTCTAGGTCACAGAGTGGGCAGCTTGGGGATGGGAGGGAGCATCAGGATTTGAACTTTGTAAACAGTCTGACTCCAAGCACTTTACTGAAGATCCCTGGACTGTTAAAAATGTATATAAAAACATGTTCTATACTACAAACCATTTTACACATTATTAATAATTTTATTCTATTGGGGATTTTTTCATAATAATACTGAGAATAATCAGGGAAAGCAATAAAATAAGAAAAATCAACATCGTATATCATATGTATTTGTATATATAACATACATCCCCCCCCACACACACACACGCCCAGCAACACAAGAAAAATCAATGCCATATTCCACGTGTTTTGTGAGGTGTGTGTGTTTCTTTTTGGCAGGTCCCTTCTCTTCATAATGCTTTCCTGTTCCAACTCCACCCTGGATCAGATTCTTCTGTAGTGGGCATTAGGGAGTTCAGTCTCCATGATTTCTTAGGATCTCATCAGCTGGGACACAGCCTGTGACTGCATCTTTCATAGTCTGTTGTGTACCTGTGAGGTGGAGGCCATCAGAGTTTGGGGAAGGATGGGGTTAGTGAGGGCTGGGGCAGTCGAGAAAGTGCTAATGGAGAAGGTTGGACTGAAGGTTTACCTGAAGGGATTGAGCAGAATTTGGAAAGGGAGCAAGAAGGAATCAGTTACATTTTGCCTTTTGTGATAGTGTAAATATTAGTACTGTATTTTATGTTCCTGCACATTATTTGAGCAGCAACTGTTAATCTTTTCCAATCTGTTGCAGAAGATGAGAGAAGATACCAGTTTCCATCATAGTATTTATGTTCACATAAAACTACCCTTATGCGGGTGATTAGAATTCTCCAATTATCAAATAATCTATCTACCTTAAAGAAAATAAATATTCAGGCCTTTAAAAGTGCGATGAATTTAATATTTAGACTGCTTTTTTTGAGTTAAATACAATAAGACCAATTATTTTAGTTGTTCAATATTTCAGTACCTTAATTGACAGCCAACTATTATAATTGCTGTCCATAAGTTGTATACCTGTGAAAGTTGAATTGGCAAAAGTTGTATGATAAAATATACTTAAAACAATGACAAAAAAAAAAAAAAACTGCTGAGGCTGCTTGTGTACAACCAAACATCTCATGGGATTTGGTTCATTGGTTTGGAGGTTTTGGATCATGGTTTCATAGGACATCCCAGTTAATTGGCCTAATACTATGTTTAGCACTTCTGTTCTACCTCCTAGTTCATCACGTGTTGACTGCAGCCTTAAAAGCTTGCCAGCAGCCGCCCAAGGCACAACAATAGGTCTCTGTTCACCTGGAGCAGAAGAGGAAGAAGGAGTCAGGAATAGGAGGAGGATATGGAATGTGTGGCTAATTGCCTCCGTGAGCAACTGCTTCCTTTGCCATGAGACCAGAAGAACCGACTGGTGCCCAGCTACCATTACTGAACATTTTGATCAAAGATTCCATAGAAAAATCCTGATCACAAGGGGGAAAATGCAGAACAGAATTTCAGATTCTTATGGACTGTAGACTTTCTGGAGTCATGGAGGGTGGATAAACCCCTGAAACTATTGACCTGAGATAATCTTTAAACTTTAAACCAAAAATATCCCCTGAAGTCATCTTAAAACCAAACTGTAGTTTAGCTTAACTAGTAAAAAAGGTCTGCTTTCAGCATTATTCTCTTTTAAGAACTATCTATATGGGATCAAATTGGCAATAGCAATTGGAAAGATTAGATAGGAACCTCAGGGGGCAGTGAGTTTATGTTAATGAAAGAGGAACAGCTCAGAAAAGCTAAGTGAAAATGGTTGCACAACTTGAAGAATGTAATCAGTGTCTCTGAATTGTACCTGTAGAAACTGTTGAATTGGTGTATGTTTTGCTGTGTATATTCTCAACAACAACAGCAAACTAAATATCATTTAGAAAAAAAAAAATGAACTGAGGGAAAAAAATCTCTTAATTGGTTGGCTACAGCTGACTTCAAGGAGTAAGGTATGCCTGACCCAAGCCATGGTATTTTCATTTGCTTCGTATGCATGGGAAAGCTGAACAGTGAAAAAGGAAGACCAAACAAGAATTGATGCATTTGAATTACTCTGTTGGGGAAGAATGTTGAATAAGCCATGGACTGCCAGAAGAACAAAGAAGTCTGTTTTGGAAGAAGTACAACCAGAATGCTCCTTAGAAGCAAAGATGGCAAGACTTTGTCTCATGTACTTTGGACATGGTATCAGGAGGGACCAGTCTCTGGAGAAGGACATCATGCTTGGTAAAGTAGAGGGTCAGCAAAATAGAGGAAGACTGTCAACAAGGTGGATTGACAGAGTGGCTGCAACATTGGGTTCAAAACATAGCAACGATCGTGAGGATGGTGCAGGATAGTGCAGAGTTTTGTTCTGTTGTACGTAGGGTTGCTGTGAGTTGAAACCCACTTCATGACACCTAACAACACAACAACAATTTGATTTTCTACACTGAACATGTATCATTCCTGCAATTAGAAAACTTTTTTCTTAATATCCCTTAAATGAGTGTTGTCAAGTTATTCGTTCAGATAAAGCTAAATTAGATGAGAGAATATTTGGTTCATAGCTTTAAAAATTGGGTTATTTGTTAATATGTTCATTAGATTATTATAGAGTTTTTCAGTTGGAACTTTAAATTATTATTGAAACTACTCTCAATACATCTAACACATAAACCCTGATAAAAGGGAACAGGAAAGGTCAGAAAGGAAAAATAGAAAATCCGGAGAGTAGGAAAAACAGGTGGTTAAAGAGTAAGCCCCAAACTGAAGATAGTCCAGGTTCTTTGCCAGACTAGTGGTTTCTCACCTTCTGCTGCATTATAATACGTTTCTAAAATTCATTATTTGGCATAGACATACACACAAGCTAAATTGAGTTTGTCTTCCTCTGATTTTTTGATGTCTTGTTTCCTTCTAGGTGGATTCCCATTATTGTCCCAGTTGCTTAGAAAATATGCCATCAGCTGAAGCCAAACTGAAAAAGAATAGGTAAGACTAGGATCCACTTTTTCTCTCTTTCCTGAACTATTTTTTTTTAAATAGTAAGAAAACACATGGAATTAACTCTTTTAACCAGTTGTTTTTCATTCTTTAGCATCACCTTTGCCAGAGATAAAATGTCCTTTGGTTTTGTTAAAATAAGATTTTTTTAAATTTTAAAACAGTTTTTGATTTACAGAATCCTTGTGAAGATAGTACAGAGAGTTCCTATTTACCGCACACCCAGTTTCCCGTATTGTTAATATCTTATATTTGTCACAGTTGATGAACCAATATTGATACATTATTATTAACTAAACTGCACATTTTATGTAGATTTCCTCAGTTTCCCCTAATGTCCTTTTTCTATCCTAGGATCCCATCCAGGATACCACATCACACTTAGTAGTCATGTCTTGCTAAGCGCTTCTTGGCGATGGTAGTTTCTCAGACTTTGCTTGTTTTTGATGATCTTGACAGTTTTGGGGAATACCGGTCAGGGATTTTATAGATTTGGAATTTGTTTGAATGGAATTTGTCTGATGTTTTTCTCGTGATTAAACTGGAGTAATCGGAGACCACAGAGGTAAAGCGCCATCTGTCATCACATCATACGTATCAAAGATATGTGCTATCAGTATGACATCACTGTTGATGTTAACTTTGATTGCCTGGTTTGAGCTAGTCTTTGTCAGGTTTCTTCACTGTAAAGTTTTTTTTGTTTCTCCCTTCCTGTACCGTACTCTTTGGAAGGTAGTCACGGTGCACAGCCCACACTTAAGGAGTAGGCAGTTATGCTCTCCCGCCTCGAGGGCTGACTACCTACATAAATTATTTGCAGTTCTTTTGCATGGAAAATTTGTCTCTGCTCCCCCATTTATTTATATATTCAATCATTTATTTCTGTCAGTATACCCACTGCTGTCGAGTTGATTCCGACTCATAGCGACCCCATAGGGTTTTCAAGGCTGTAAATCTCTACGGAAGCAGACTGCCACATCTTTCTCCCTCGGAGCCGCTGGTGGTTTCAAACCGCTGACTTTTCAGTTAGCAGTTGATTGCTTTAACCGCTGCAACACCAGGGCTCTTTATATCAGTGTGGACTCATGAATATTTATTTTATACTTTGGGTTATAATCCACTACTGTATTTATTTTGCTCAAATTGTTCAGCTTTGGCCATTAGGAGCTGTTTTCTTTTGACATACCTGATCATTGTAAATGTGGAAGTTTTTATTTTTTGTTTTATTTTATTTTGGGTTGTTTGCACAATTCCTTACTTTCTAACACTATAGAATGCTCCAGGCCTATTTTGTAAGTTTACTGCCTCAATCCTAAAATTAGCAATTTCTCCAAGAAGCCCTGGTTCCTTTTACAGGAGAAGGTATTGGAAACCAAGATCTGGGCACTAGGTGTGCTCATTGCTACTGCGTACCATTTGATTTTTAGCTTGCTGTGAGGGTCCTTTTGCTACAAATCATACCCCTATCCATCCATGGATGTGAACCACTATTATTTGTCTTTCCTACAAGAAATAGCTCCTGATGAGCCAGGCACTGTGTTATGTACTTTCCACACATTAATTTTATCATTTAATTCTCAGAGTATCCCTGTGAGGTGGGTACTGTTTTTACCCTCATTTAGCAAATGAGAACATCCAGATGGCAAAATAATAGATATTTAGAGTTATGAGATAGAACTTCAGAGCAAAGCCAGGACTCGAGGTGAAATCTTAGAGAATTAAAAACAATGGGGCATAGAGGAGACATTGCTGAAGGAGAGATGTTGGCTGAGCACTAAGAAGAGCTTTGTGTAAGGAGAGAACAGAAAGCCTGGAAGATGTATCTCTTCTGACCCATTCCAGTTTGATGGCATTATGTGGTATATGTTTCAGTTCTCTGGCACAGCAAATGAGCAGTTATTTTCCAAGCCCAGTTTCACAGCTTACTGTATTGCTGTTTCTCAGTTTTCCACCGCGTGATTGGTCTGCTATCTCTAAAGGCGTAAGCTGTGACATTTCTCTTTTTTTCTGAAATCTTTGTGCTCTGTGTAGGTATAAAAGTCTAGAATAGTAAAATCCGGACTGATAATGGTGATTTTCTCTGTGGGGTATGGTTGGGTCAGGTTCTAATTCTTCTGGAGCTTTGATGATGATTGCATGTTTTTTGTTTGTTTGTTAATAATAAACATAACATACTTTTGACATTTTAAAACAAAGTTGATAAGAAGCCCCTGGGAATACTTTTTTTTTAAATTTCTTTTTTGTTTGAGAGCCACTCCTCTCTTACAGTTTGTTCTCTCTTGAATTCTAACATATAGAACAGTGTCTGGCATATAGTAGGTTCTTGGTAAGTATTTGTTGAATTAATGAATGGTTTTATTTGCCGTGTTACAGATGCGCCAACTGCTTTGACTGTCCCGGCTGCATGCATACCCTCTCAACTCGAGCAACAAGCATCTCCACACAGCTCCCAGATGACCCAGCCAAGACCACGATGAAGAAAGCCTATTACCTGGCCTGTGGATTTTGTCGCTGGACGTCTAGAGATGTGGGCATGGCAGACAAATCTGTGGGTGAGTGAGGTGAACTTAAACATGAGATTTTGTGAAATTGGCAGTACTATTATTACCCACAGATTATTGTTTCTGCTACTTTTTGGAGCAGTGAGAGCTAAATTTAGAGTGTTTTGTCATTAAATCTTCTGTTTTCCGATATTCTCACATTTATAGGCCATGTGGCTTTACCTGAGATGAGTAATACTGTTTAGTTTTCTTAGAGTTGGTAAAATAGCTTTCATAAGTCTTACACTTTTTTAGAATTAAAATATCCATGCTCATCATAAAAAAATAAACACTCCTGTTGATGAAGTACACCATGAACAAAATTAAAAGTAACCAACTAAGAAAAATATTTGGATCATATATAACAGACTAAAGATGGATAACCAAAACATATGAACAACTCTTATAAATAAGAAAAAGTCATAGGACCCAGTAGAAAAATAGGCAAAGGATATGAATAGCAGCTATCAGAAGTGGAAATAAAAATGGTCAATAAATACGCAAAAAGGTATGTTCAACTTCATTAGTAATCAGGGAGATGCAAATTAAAATTTCATCTATCAATTTGGCAAAAGTTTTAGACTCTAGTAATATCAGTTATTGGCTAGAATGTGGGAAATTATTTTTCTCATAGGCTACTACCGGGAGAGCAATTTGATAATATCGATAAAAATTTTAAATTACTTTTATCCTTCTGCCCGGCAATTCTGTGTCCAGTATCTGTCCTGGAGAAATACTCAGACGTGTTCAGAGATATGTGTATATATATATAGAGAGAGAGAGAAAGTTATAAGTGAAACAGGAAAATTGTATGTGTTTGGACTTAAAGACCATTTTAAGCCATTGTTTACCTCTGTAGTCATTGGAGCATTTCAGAAGAGTACGTTTATCTTTATCAGGAATCTTTTCTTCTTTTTACGTTTCCTATGTTGTAGGATAGTGATTAATTGCTACGGCTGCTAACGAAAAGGTTGGCAGTTCGAATCCACCAGGCACTCCTTGGAAACTCTTTATGAGGCAGTTCTACTCTGTCCTATGAGTCAGAATGGTCGCTATGAGTTGGAATCGACTCAGTGGCAACGGGTTTGGGTTTTTTTGGTTTACGTTGTTGTTAGTTGCCCTAGAGTTGATTCTAATTCATGATGACCCATGTGTGCAGACTAGAAGGGCTCCATGGGGTATTCAAGGCTGTGACTTTTCAGAAGCAGATTGCCAGTCCTGTCTTCCAGGGCACCTCTGGGTGGGTTCAAACCAAACTGCCAACTTTTTGGCTGATGAGTGCTTAGCCATTTGCGCCACCCAAGGACTCGATGGTTAAACATCAGAGAGATGAAACACTGTTCAAAATCTTGAGTTGCTATTTATGCTTTATGTAAATAGTAGTATCACTAACTTCCTATTGTCTTTTATGAAATTTCGTTGTTTAATTTTCTGAAAACTTTTTACATTTGTAAAAATTTCCATTTTTGGATTTTCATAGAAATTACAGAATGTATCAGGAAGCCCATAACAATCTCATTATATGTTGTTTGACATAACTAAGGAAACCCTGGTGGCAAAGTGGTTAAGAGTTCGGCTGCTAACCAAAAAGTCGGCAGTTTGAATCTACCAGGCACCCCTTGAAAACCCTATGGGGCAGTTCTGCTCTGTCCTATAGGGTCGCTATGAGTTGGAATTGACTTGACGGCAACAGGTTTTTTTTACCCCCTGACGTAACTAAAATGAAGATGGACTTTATTAAAAAACTTTCTATAGATTCTTAAGCAATTTGAAAGTAAATATAGGTGAAGTTTCTTTTTTGAGGGGAGAAGGATATGCACGGCAAAACATCAATTCAGCAGTTTCTACACGTACAATTTAGTGACATTGATTACATTCTTCGAGTTGTGTAACCATTCTCACTCTCTTTTTCTGAGTTGTTCCTCCCGCATTAACATAAACTCACTGCCCTCCAAGTTTCCTATCTAATCTTTTGAGTTGCTGTTGTCAATTTGATCCCATGTAGATAGTTCTTAAAAGAGCACGTTTAAGGCAGACCTTTTTTTACTAGTTAAGCTAAACTACTATTTGGTTTTAAGATGACGTCAGGGCATATTTTTGGTTTAAGATTTAAAGATTATCTCAGGGCAGTAGTTTCAGGGGTTCACCCAAACTTCATGGCTCCAGGAAGTCTGGAGTCCATGAGAATCTGAAATTCTGTTCTGCATTTTCCCCCTTTTGATCAGGATTCTTCTATGGAATCTTCGATCAAAATGTTCACTAATAGTAGCCAGGCACCATCCAGTTTTTCTGGTGTTATGGTAAAGGAGGCAGGTGTTCATGTAGGCAGTTAACCACACATTCCATATCCTCCTCCTTTCCTAACTCTCCTTCTTGGGCAAAGTTTCTTTAGATGCAGCTGTGTTCTTAAAATTTTAACCCTTGATTCTGTTGAGTTTGCCCTTTGATTTAGAATGCTCGCGCTCTTGACTGTTTTTCTGGCTTGGTACGTTGAGTTAATAAAGTATATACTCTTTTCAAAAACAAAAGCTAGACAAATATATTTTAAAAATACTCGGCAGGTCGATGTTTACCTGACGTATAATTTATATTACATATGGTTTCTGAGGAGCAACTCAGAAAAAGAGGATGAGAATGTTTGCATAACTCTTTGGTATCTTTTTAGATTGTCAGCAAATATTTATGTGTGTATATTTTAAATGTCAATGTAACAGGTAAATTGTTAGAATTTATTTAAGAGTTTAAGTGAAATGACAAAAACATTCTCAAAGTGACATAGTGTGTGCCTCAGTGAGTTAGTACACTCCTTACATTTGTATTTTGTCTCTTTTTATCAAGTAAAAGAAATGAAGCCCAGAAATTCAAATATATTTCTAAGTTTGTTTGCTTTGTGAAGGGAATGTTTCATACTATTTGGATTATGAACCACTAGGATTGGTGAATTTATATTTTAGAAATATAAATGTAACTTCTGTGCTAGCTTCTAGAAACCTATCTCCTCTAGGGTACCTTGACAGTGATAATTAAATCCAAGGAGCTCTTAAAGAGTACAGATAATTTTCTTTCTTCCATGATGTCATCGGTGTCCGAGAAGCCCTGAAACCACTTTAGTTGGAACTTTTTGTTTATTTATGAGGAAGCCATCGTGTCAGTAATGTGCAGGGAAAAATAATGAGTTCATTATGTCTCCCAGATTGTTGTTTAGAATAAATTGCCAGCTCTAAAGAAGCAATTACGTAAAACGTTCAGATTTTTTTTAAATTTTACTACAAGTGAAACATTTCTCTCACATAATTCTTTATTTTTCATAATTGCCTTAAGTAATACAACCTCTAAAATATGAATATTGTACTAAAGGATGTCATTTCTGCTATTTCTTGCAAGAGGGTATGATGTCACCTTAGGAAATAATTGAGTCCTTTTTGTTTTGAAACAAATTATTTTTAATTATACAGTAATATAATAATATACATTCATGAATTCACCACCCAGCTTAAGAAATAAAACATAACCAAAACAGGTTAAGCCCCTTGTGTAGTTTTTCTCCTATTCCATCCCCCTTCTTCTCTGCTTCCCAGAGGTAATGATCGCAATACTGAATTCATTGTTTATTAGTTTCCATCCATATCTTTATACTTCTCAACATACATATGTAGCTACTAACAAATAGTATTTTTCAATTTTAAACAAATGGAAACACATTGTATGTATCCTTTGCAACTTTTCTGAGTCAACATTATGTTTCTGATACATACTTGATTCATGCATGTCTTAACCACGTTTACTTATTCAGCCTCTGCTTGCTGGAAATTTAGGTTTTCATTTTTATTTTTCTTTTGACAACAGTGCTGCTAGAAATAGTCTTGTGTGTGGTTCCTAAGGCACAAGAGTAAGGGTTCCTTTGTATACCTAGAAGTAAAATTGTTGGTCATAAAGTATGTAAATTTTTAGCTCTCTAGAGTGGTTTGGAAACCCTGGTGGCATGGTGGTCAAGAGTTCAGCTGCTAACCAAAAGGTCGGCAGTTTGAATCCACTAGGCACTCCTTGGAAACCATATGGGGCAGTTCTGCTCTATCCTATAGGGTCGCTATGAGTCGGAATTGAGTCGACGGCAGTGGGTTTGGTTTTTTTGGATTGAGAGTGGTTTACAAATTTTTGCACCATGAGTGATGCATAAGAATAGACTACCCATTGCTCCAGATCCTTGGCAACTCTTAGTATTGTTGGACTCTTAAAAAGTTTTGCCATACTGATTGCATTCTGCCAATACGAAGGGTGAACTAGCCTAAAAATGGAGCCAACACATAGAGGGATGGAGTCTGTGTCTTGACAACAATGTCTGGGACTCTGGATTCACCTATACCAGATCTTTCTTTGGAATTTCTTGTTACATAATGAAATAAAATTCTCTTTTGGCTTAAAAAAAAAAAGTTTTGCCATACTGATGGTTGTGAAATGGTGTTTCATTATAATTTATTCCCCCCTTTTCTTTGTTAGCTTTATTGAGATATAATTTACATATGATAAGGCTCACCATTTTTAAGTATAGAATTCTGTGATTTTTTACAAATGTATATAGTCATGTAGCCACCACCACAGTCATGATATAGAACATTTCCATCACCCCAAAAAGTTCCCTCATGCCTCTTTGCAATCAGTTCCTTCTCCCTACACCCTGGCCTGTGTCTACCACTGATACATTTTCTATGACCGTAATTTTGCCTTTTCTAGTTTATATAATTGGAATCTTGTTGTACATAGTTCTTTATGTCTAGTTTCTTTCATTTAGCATAAGGCTTTTTAGATTCATACATATTTCTGCTTTTTATTATTAAGTAATATTTCATTGTAGGGATGGATGTACCATAATTTGTTTATTCATTCTCCAGTTGATGGACATTTGAGTTGTTTCCAATTTGGGGATCATGTGAATAAAGCTGCTATAAACATTTTCCTGCAAGTCTTTGTGTGGATGTATGTTGTTATTTTTCTTGGGTGAATACCTAGGAGTAGAATTGCTAGATCATAGGATAAGTGTATAGTTAACTTTACTAGAAACTGCCAAACTGTTTTTCCAAAGTGGCCTGGTGCCATCTTAACATCCTCACCAGCAAAGTAAGAGAATTCTAGTTCCTTGACAACCCTTGGTGTGGTCAGTCTTTTTCATTTTAGCCATTTGAGTGAGTGTGAAGGAGCCCTGGTGGCATAGTAGTTAAACGCTCAGCTGCTAACCAAAAGGTTGCCAACTGAAAGGTCGACAGGTTGAACCCACCAGCCGCTCCATGGGAGAGAGATATGGCAATCTGCTTCTGTAAAGATTACAGCCTTGGAAACCCTATGAGGCAGTTCTATCCTGTCCTGCAGGTTCGCTATGAGTCAGAATGGATTCGACAACAGCGGGGGGACTGTGTGTGGTGATGTCTCATTGCATTTTCTTAATGTTTAATAATTTTGAGCATCTTTTTGTGTGCTTATTTGCCAACCATATATCTTTGGTGAAATGTCTGTATGAATCTTTTGCCCATTTTTTTAATTGGGTTTTTTGTCTTTTTATTGAATTGTAAAAGTTCCTTATATATTCTGGATACAAGTCCTTTGTTGGTTATCTTTTGCAAATATTTTCTTCTAGTCTGTGGTTTATCTCTTTATTTTCTCAACAGCGTCTTTTAAAAAGCACAAGTGTCTAATTTCAAGGAAATCTAACTTATCATTTTTTGATCGTTTGTGCTTTTTGTGTCCTCCTGAAGACATTTTACCCTAACTCAAGATCATTAAGATTTTCACCTAATTTTTTTCTAGAAATGTTATAGTTTTAACTTTTACACTGAAGTCTGTGATCTATTTCAGGTTAAGTTCTGTATATGTTGTAAAGTGCGGGTCGAGGTTCTTATCTTTGCATATGGATATCCAATTCTTCCAGCACCATTTGTCGAAACTATTAAATATGGTTTTACTTTCCACTTTCTTGAATAATCTTTTCCTTTATGATTTGTGCTGTTTGTTTCTTATGTAAGAAATTATTCTCTACGCCAAGGTCATAGAAATTGCAGTGTTGTGTGTGTGTGTGTGGATAAGAGCAGGGTCTCTGGAGTCAGACTCCAGATGAATCCTGGCTCTGTGACTTACTGTCTGCATGACTTTGGGCAAGTTATTTAACCTCTTTGAGCCTCAGTTTCCTCATCTATAAAATGAGGCTAATAATAGAGAGTCCTTACCTCAGAGTATTATTATGAGAGTAAAAATGTAATGCGTTTAAAGTGCCTGACACAAAAGCTATCTATACATGCATTAGTTGTGGTGGTGGTGGTGATGATCATCATTTTATATATATGTGTGTACGTGTGCGTATAATAATTATTTTTTAACCTGTGTACTGTTATCTATATAATTTCTAAGATTGTTTCTTGGAAGTTCTGTCATTTTATGTTTTTGAGTTTCATTCTGTGGCCTGCAGAAGACTTGGTTTTATGAAAAGAAAATCAAATGTGAAAGTCTTGTTTAATGTTTCCTTGTTTTGCAGCTAGTGGCGGTTGGCAGGAACCTGAAAATCCTCATACACAAAGGGTAAGTAAAGGGTCATCAGAGAGAAAGGAAATAAGAAAAAATGGGGGAAAAGGTTGAATGTCTTCTATTTTGTTAGTGCATATGACCCATGCTTAGAAGCCCATGATGTGAGTTTTGTTATTTACTATGCATAGTAAGTGCCTCTCATTAAGTGGCAGTTTTTTCCAGCCTGACTTAAGTTGGAGAGAAATTAGGTGTGGTTTTAGTTCTGTACTTGAGTTGTGAATCAGAACAAGGAAACAAGTTATGTTTTTTATTTTTCTGCATGTACCCACCAACTGAGTTAAGGCTTCATTTGTTCTGAAATTCTCTTGGAAATATCATTAACATGTAGTTACTTTAACTCCTGGTGTTTCCAGTTTAGAGGCCCAGGGACTCAGTAGTGGTTGCTTATAGGAGCATGACTTGAACATCTGTCATGGATTGAATTGTGTCCCCCAAAAATACATATCAATTTGGCTGGGCCATGATTCCCAGTATTGTGTGGTTGTCCTCCATTTTGTGATTAATATAATTTTCCTGTGTGTTGTAAAAACCTAATCTCTGCCTGTGGCTAATGAGGCAAGATTAGATTATGCTAGAGAGGAATAGGATGGGATGTAACACCCTTGCTCAGGTCATGTCCCTGATCCAGTGTAAAGGGAGTTTCCCTGGGGTGTGGCTGAACCACCTTTTATCTTACAAGAGATGAAAGGGAAGCAAGCAGAGAGTGAGGGACCTCATACCACCAAGAAAGCAGTGCCTGGAGCAGAGCATGTCCTTTGGACCTGGGGTTCCTGTGCAGAGAAGCTCCTAGTCCAGGGGAAGATTGATGAGAAGGACCTCCCTCCAGAGCCAACAGAGAAAGCCTTCCCCTGGAGCTGATGTCTTGAATGGACTTCTAGCCTGCTAGACTGGGAGAAAATAAACTTCTGTTTGTTAAAGCTATCCACTTGTGTTTCTGTTACAGCAGCACTGGATAACTAAGGCAACATCCTTTAATAGTTCATAGTGAAATATTCTGTGCAGTAGGTATTAGAGCTGATTTTTTTACTCCTGGAGCTAGAATATGAGAAAGATGATGAACTGCTATAGGAATGAACTATGTACAGTCAGTCAAAGTGCAAATTAAACAATAATTTACAATTATTCACCTTTGAGATCAGCAAAAATTAGAAATGCTGAAAAATATCCAGAAAGAGAATGTGGGAAAATGGGTCTTTCTCACATATTCTATTGTTGTATTAGTGTAAATTGGTACAGATTTCTTGACCTCTTGGCAGTATCTACATCACATTTATTGAAAACTTACAATGTGCTAGAGACTGTGTTAAACGGTAGGGATACATGGTCACTGCCTTTATAGAGCCTAAGTCTATTGGGAAAACAAAAATCAATAAATAATCCACAGATAGAGAAAACCTGTGATAAAGCGATGTGCTATTGTTGTTAGCTGCTATCGAATTGATTCAAGTAATGTGTAGGAGAAATAAATTGTGCCATGTAAACACTTATTAGGGGAAATGTCAACTTGTTAGATCTACAACCGAGGATTGCACTGAGATCTGAGGGTGACAGGCATGGAGGAAAAAGCTCTCAAGGTGGAAGGAACGGCACGTGGAAAGAATTAGAAGAAGCAAAGCAAGCTCTAGGCAAGAACCAAAAGATGAGTGTGACTAGAGTGGAGAACAGTGTTAGCGGAGGGAGAGTGGTATTTGGGGTCAGACAAAGCAAGACCATGCAGACCAAGTTAAGGAGTTTGGGAAGCCTTTAAATGTTTTTAAGCAGGAAGATGATAGGATCAGACTTGTAAAAAATAATCGCTCCTGAATTGAGAGGACAAGAGTGGCTACCATGAGATCATTTATGAGGTATTATGGGAAATTGTTGAATATCTTGTAGGACATCATACTAGGGAATAAGGTACAGCCTTTAAAAAGAGTGAGGTGTGTCTGTACTGTATGGAAAGCATTTGATGTATTTGCACTGGATGGAAAGTTTATGAATACTTAAAAAGGAACTTATAAAATAACTTCATCCCTTGTATATAAAAAAATTGAAAAGCCCTGTATTTTTTATACATATCAAAGCTATATATACACAGATTTTTAAAAATATGAAAAAGTGTGAAATGTCACAGTCTTAGAGATAAATGGTCCTCTGGCAGTGGAGAAACAATAGGAGCAATAAGTAATGGGGAAATAGGTAATGAAGTAAAAGAGCAGTGAAAAGAGAGTATGACATTTCCAAGCCTTTTCATTTCCCATTTCCTATTCTTGTTAAACTTGGAGGTTCCATTTCAATTCTGAAAGCAGATCATGTAATGAAGAGAAATCTCCTTGAAGAAAAAGGACAGACTTGCCCACCTTAACAATTTTGTCTTCTCTATTTATTATATGCCTCAGTAGTGTAGTTGTTGAATTTTGTATGTTTCCCATTAGGTTTTTCATGACACAAATACTGAGTCTTTCATTTCTTACAGATGAACAAACTGATTGAATATTACCAGCAGCTTGCTCAGAAAGAGAAAGTTGAGCGAGATCGCAAGAAACTGGCACGACGCCGAAACTATATGCCTCTGGCTTTTTCGGTGAGGGTTTGGTACAAAAAGGACTTCACGGTTCATTGATCTACCTCTGTGGCATGAGAATAGTGACCATTTCAGAAAGTGATCCTTGTGCTTAGATTTCTGAATGGTGTATAACAGAGAGAGGTTCCTCAAATTACAGATGTTTTAAGTCCAGCAGTTGTGCTTTTGCTGTGTCCTTATTTCTGTGACTGAGTTATCAGGACAGTTGTGTTTATTTCTCCATCACTCCCCTTTCTCTTCTGATTATCCAAAGAAGCTACTGTTTAATCTCATAGGCACCATAAAACTCACCTATTCATAGATTTTGAGTATTACTGGAAGTCAGAGAAGAAGGGGGACCAGTGGCCAGTGGTAGATTTTATTCATACGGCCCGTGTAGTCCACCTGTGACTTCCTGGTAGTGGTGGTTTTCCAACCCCAGTTGTAATTTTTTGGCCCCTTTCCGTATTACTGATTGAAGAAACACTGACTTTCACACAGTGCGTTTGTGTGGTTAAATAGTAATATATGCAAGTGGAGTTTTTTATAGGCATTATGTATGGAAGTCATTCTTTACTAGGTTACATGTTACCAGTCTAAAGCAGGAAATTAGGAGCTTTTGCTATTGTCCCTGGGTTTTATTTGCTGTAACAGAACAAATTTGTTCTCTGTGTACCTGCTTGGGGCCAAGCAAGTTGACATTTAATAAATAACATTTTTTGAATGCTAACAATGCACCAAGCACTGTGCTAAGTACTTTACACATACTTTGTTTCATCCTCACAACAATCCCTTAGGATGTATCCCTGTTTCACACTTGAGAAATGAGACCTGGGAAGGTTAAGTAGCTTCTTGCACAGCTTCCACATGAGAATTGGTTAAGCTATTTGAAACCCAAAGATTTGGTAAGGTCCATATAAAAATATTTAGTTTTAGAATTTGATAAAACATTAAAACTTGCAGAGCACCTACGTTTGTCAAAGACTTTAATGAAGTCTTACTGAATTTTTCCAGTGGTATAATCAGCATATGTACTGGTATATATTTAGGAGAGGAATTTAAATTAAATGCATTATTCTCCCACTTTCCCATGTAACCTGCCTGCTGTATGAGTTTGCTTCTATCTTATGCTGCACTTTTTTGTCTCTGTTGCAACCTGCTGCTATTTTGGGGCTCTCCACAGCAACATACTATTCATGTAGTGGTAAGTTCTCTTTTATGATTCTTGCTGACCCTGAGGAAGCTAGCAGATGGTAACAGGTGTTCTAGGAAGACGTTTGCTGTGTGCCTTAGACACTCCACATAGTTCTGGCCTGAGCCATAGCTTAGGTGTTTTGATGCTAGTCTCAGTCTCCAATTTCCATGATTGGTGCTTTTATTATTATTTGAAGAATAGGATAATGATTTGGGGCTACATATTATTCTACTTAAAAGCTTTTAACTTAGCTTTTTTTTTTTTTTTTTGCTTACTTCCCTGAGCTTCTCATGCTGTCCCTCCCAAAGTTCTTTTTTTTAATAAATAGGATGTGTAAGTATGGAATTTCTAATAGGAATTTCTGAACTCTCCTTAGGACAAATATGGTCTTGGAACCAGGCTTCAGCGACCACGAGCTGGTGCATCCATCAGTACCCTTGCTGGACTTTCGTAAGTTTGGACATTAAATGGCTTTGAGGAGAAAAGCAGATACATAAAAAAAATAAGAGTTCAAAGGGGAAGAAGATTCTAATACTTAGAAAAGATTAACTGGAATGTAGGATGTGACCTAAACAGAAAATACATTCTATACAATACTTCAATTATCGATATCACGGACTTTGAGGATAGTCAGGTAGACCCTTGAGAAATCACTGCTTTTTATCTTTTAGCCTTAAAGAAGGAGAGGACCAGAAAGAGATAAAGATTGAGCCAGCTCAGGCTGTAGATGAAGTGGAACCCCTACCAGAAGACTATTATACAAGACCAGTAAATTTAACAGAGGGTAATTTTATACAATATTCTACTTCTTTCTAATTGTTTTAAATCTTCTTTTGTTACTATATGCCTTGTTGCCTGAAGATTATTAATGGCATAGTTGTTAGTAGTAAAATGATCCTGTAGAATATAAAATAGATATTGTTTGAAGAACTTTAAATACCTATCAAATTTCTGTGGTAGTTTTTTTGAAGAACACTATTCACAAAGGCAGCACTGCTTCATGGAAGTCTGATTTTGAGCAAGTCCCCATAAGTTAAGCCTGGCTTCTTCCTTTGTGCTAGTGACTACCCTTCATCAGCGCCTCTTACAGCCAGACTTCCAGCCAGTCTGTGCCTCACAGCTCTATCCTCGCCACAAGCACCTTCTGATAAAACGGTCCCTACGCTGCCGGGTAAGTGTTCCATTCTGCAGAGTGACCATTTGTCCAAGAGAAAAGCAGAAATAAAGTAAACATGATTAGTTTTTGATCAGTAGCAAAACTTCTGGAATGTAGTGAATAAAAATAGAAAACACAGAGAATGTACAAGGTGTCCGGCACTGTTTAAAATACTTTCGATATATTAACTCCCCAAGGTTATGAGGTAGGAATTATTTTTTTTATTATTATGGTAAAATTATATATAACACAACATTTGCCATTTCAACATATTTTATGTGTACAATTCAGTGACATTAATTACATTTACCATGTTGTGCAACCATGACCACTGTCTGTCTCCAAATTTTGTCATTCCCTTAACAGAAACTCAGTGTCCCTTAAAAGCAAACCCATTAAAACCAAGCCCATTGCCATCGAGTCAAACCAAGTCATAACAACCCTATAGGACAGAGTAGAACTGCCCCATAGGGTTTCCAAGACTGTAATCTTTACGGAAGCAGACTGCCACATCTTTCTCCCATGGAATGGCTGGTAGGTTCGAACTGCCAACTTTGCAGTTGAATGCTTTACCCACTGCGCCACCAGGTCTCCTTTCCTACCCCTAGTAACCATTAATAAACTGGTTTCTATACATTTGTCTATTCTAGATTTTCCATATAAGTGGGATCATACAATATTTGTCCTTTTGTGTCTAACTTATTTCACTTAGCATGTTTTCAAGGCTCATCCTTGTCGTAGCATGTATCAGAATGTACGAAGTAGGTATTATTATTTTCCCTATTTTACAGATATGGAAACCAAGGCATCTGAAGATTAAGTAACTCACCCAAGCACATAGTGCTAACCACTAAAAGAATAGTGAAAAACTGTATAGCTTTTAGGCTAGCAGAGAGGAAATAAAAAGGAATAATAAAAAATAATTAAAAGAAGAAAAATCAGCAAAATCCAGGCTCTGGGAGTCTACAGAACAAACAAAACAAAAGAGCAGATGGACAGGAAACCTTTAGATCAGTACTATCCAATAGAACTTTCTGTGATGATGGAAATGTCAAACATGGTAGTCACTTGTACCATGTGGCTATTGAGCACTTGAAATGTGATTAGTGCAACTGAAGTACTAAATCTTTAATTTTTTTAAATTTTAAGTAGCCATATGTAGCTAGTGGCTGCTGTATCAGATAACAAAGCTCTAGATTAAGAGAGACTAAAGAGGCATATCAACCAAACAGTGTGAAGGAAATAAGGAAAAATTTATGAAACCTTTGGGGAAATTTAAACACTAGTTAGATTTTTTATTCTACTAAAGAATTTGGGGTTTTTTTGTGTGTGATAAAGTAGTGTTTTTTTTAATATCTATCTTTTAGAAATATATATCAAAATATTTATGGATGAAATGACATGATGTCTGGGATTTGTTTCAGGATAATCATGGAGGGAGAGTGGATGAGAGTATAGATGACACAGGATTGGCCATGAGTTGCTGATTGTTGAAGCTAGGTATCTGGGGGTTATAATACTATTCTGTATTTGTGTATATGTTAGCAATTTTCTATATTGAGTAACTTTTTAAAAGAAAGGAAAAGAAGGGGTAAAGGAAAATAGAAAGCATATAGTAAGATGATTTAAAGCCACATATGTCAGTATTTACATTAATTCCAATGAACTGAATAGTTCTGTTGAAAGATAAAAAATTCTTAGATCAAGAAAACAAAATGCGCCAACTTATCTATATACTGATTATAAGAAACACAAACAGGAGAATCAAAGATTGAAAGTAAAAAATAGATGGAAAAAGATGTGCAAATACCAATTTTAAAAAGAGATACTTCATAACGGAAAAGATTCCATTCACAAGGAGGATATAACAGTTCTAAATTTGTGTATTCCTAATAACATAGACTCAAAATATATAAAGCAAAATTTAAGAAAATTGCATGGAGAAACATATAAATCATTGTGGGAAATTTTAACATACTTCTCTCAGTAACTGAGGGAACAAACAGATGAAAGTCAATAAAGATAGAGAACATTTGAACTAGTAAACTTGACCTAGCGGGCATACTTAAACACTATACCCAACATCTGCAGAGTACACATTCTTTCAAGCACACACAGAACACGATAAAAATTCACTGTACACTGGGTTATAAAGCAAGTCTCAGCATTCTTCAAAAGATGAAATTGTTAGAGTGTATTACTTGATCACAATGCAATTAAGTTAGAAATAAGTAATTCCTACATAGCTAAACTTGTAGGATGCAACTAAGGCCACACTTAGATGCATGTATTAGAAAATAAGGTAAGTTAAAAGATTGTAAAGGTTATTCATTTCAAGAGGTTAGAAAAAGAACAGCAAATTAAGTCCAAAGAAACTAAAAAGAAGCGTAGGTATTAATGAAGTAAGAACCAATATATCAGCAAAATCAAAAGTTGATTCTTTCAAAAAATTAATAGTAAATATTAAAATGTAAGTGAAACATACAAATATTAATGTCAGTTATATAATACACTAATATTTTCCAAAACTAAATAAGCACTTACCTTTTGACCCATCAGCCTCACTTATTGTAGTCTACCCTGAAGTTACACCTCCACAAATACAAAAAAAAAAAAAAAAAAAATGCAGATTATGGTATTTCCACACAGTGAGTACTATAAATATATTAAAAAAGAGTGTAGTAATTTGGGATATATTTTGAAATGCAAAAAACAAGGGTGTGTGGCAGTGTATATGGTATGCTACTTTTTGTTTAAAAAAGGATGAAAAATAAGAATGAATATATATATATATGTAAACACACAAAAAGAGAAAATAGATATGTTTATGTGTGTCTATTCATTTATTCTTACAAAAAGAAACACTGAAAGAACGAACCAGAAAGTTAAAGTATAGGTTACCTCTGGGGTGAAAAGATAGGGATTGAAGCAGGACTTCTCTAGGTATACTTTTTATGTAATCTTGATTTGTGAATCGTGCAAATATTTTACATTCAAAAAATAAAAACAAATAATTAAAAACCAAACACTGAAATTGAAAGTAGTGAACTTAACTGATTTTCAGCTTCACAGGAGAAGAATTACTTTAAGTGAGTTTGAAAACAATACACTGAATGTACATCCTTAATAAGGAGTATTTTAAGAGTACTATTTTAATTTTGGAGCCCCGGTGGCACAGTGGTTAAGAGAGTGGGTGCTAACCAAAAGGTCAGCAGTTTGAATCCGCCAGCCGTTCCTTGGAAACCCTACAAGGCAGTTCTGCTCTGTCCTATAGGGTCGTTATGAGTTGGAATTGACTTGACGGCAACAGGTTTGGTTTTGGTTTTGGCTATTTTATTTTTAAGAAGACTAAAGAGAAATAACCTGATGTTATTGGTGAACATCAATTGGATCCTGATTTTGGTGGGGAAAAGCCACAAATGAGATTGTTGGGGAAATTTTAGTACAGACTATTTGATGTATCCAGGAATTGTTAATTTTCTCAGGTGTGACAGTAATATTAAGGTTATATAGAAGAAATGTTCTTATTTTTAGGAAATGCAGACTTCAGCATTTAGGATGAAAGTGTCATGATGTCTATAGTTTACATCCAGATGGAAAAAAATATATAAGCAGATACTTAGATAAAGCAAATAAGGCAAGATGTTGACAGTAGTTGACTAGATGAATGGGTATTTATTGTACCATTCTTCTGAAAATTTTCATAAGAGGTTGGGAAAAAAATCAAGCTCTAAAAGTTGTTGTTAGTTGCCGTTGAGTTGATTCCGACTCTTGTTGACCCCATCTGTGCAGAGTAGAATTGCGCCATAGGATCTTCAGGGTTGTAAAAGAAAATAAAAGGAGGGAAATAATAAAATTCAGAACAAAAATTAATGAAATAAACAACAAACAAAATTAACAAAGCCAAAAGTTAGATTTTGAAAAAGAATAAAAATGATAGGCCTCTACCAAGACATTTTAGAGGAAAAAAAGGCTTAAATTACCAATGTCAAGAATGAGAAAAGGATTTCACTACAAAAATAAAAGATAACAGGACATTGCAAACAACTTTATGTCAATAAAATTTGGAAATTTAAAGGAAAATGACAAATTCTGAGAAAAGTAAAACCAAAATTGATAGAAATTTAAAAATCTGAATAGTCCTGTATAAATATTAAAGAAGTTAAATTTATAATTGAAGTCTTCCTGAAAGAAAACACCAGATCCAGATGGTTTCACTGGCAGATTTTCAAACATAAGGAACTCATTCACAAGCTTTTCCAGAAAACAAAAAGAAGGACTATCCCCCATGTTTTTTATGAGGCCAGGCTAATTTTGATACTAAAAATCTGTCAGGGACATAATATCATCATATCAATAGATATATTTGATAAAATTTTGTCAAGTATTTGGTAAAATTCAACATTCATGATTTTCACAGTAATTAAGACATTGTGGTATTGGTATCATGTTACACCACTCATAGACTATTGGAACAGAGTAAATACAGCAGAAACAGGCCCATGCATATGAGAAACTTGATACTTACTAAAAAAAAAGGCATTGCAAATCATTGGAGAAAGAGTAGTTTATTAAATTTTGCTAGATCAAATGATTATGGAAAAAAATCAGACTGAGTTCCTACCTCATACCTTACCAGAAAATCAATTTCAGATACTTTGAAGACTTAAAGAGCAATATGAAGAACAGAACTTCTAGGATAGAAGGAAATGTAGGAGAATATCTTTATGACTTGTAGATAGGGGAATGTTCCATTAATAAGACAAATAAGCACAAACTATAAGAGAAAAAATAAATATTTGACTACATTAAAAATAAAACCTGGACCTCAGCCCAAAGAAAATCCATGAAGAAATGAAAAAATAGGCCACACATAATGAAAAAGTAATCTGAAAGGTATTTGATTAACCAAGGATTAGTATCCATAATACGTAAAGAACTTAGCAAATCAATAAGGAAAAGATAACCCAGTAGATAGTAACATACAAACCATGGCAGAGGATATTCAAATAGCCAATAAATATGAAAAGATACCCTGCCTTATATATAGTAATCAGGGTAGTATACATTGAAACTACAGTGAGATACCATTTCATAATCATAAGGTTGGCAAACGTTAGCAATTTGACAATATCTATTAAAATAAAAAATGCATGCACCCTTTGATCCCTTCTGGAAAAGTTATTCTACAAATATATTTACACATGTGAGAAGTGATTCGTGTATAAAAATGTTCATTGCTATATTATTTGTAATAGGAAAATAATGGAACACTCCAAATGGCCATCAATTGGGGCCTGATTAAATAATTATGAAATCCTTGTAGTGGGATACAAGAGCACTTCTGTTTGCTGCTATGGAATTAATTCCAAGATAGATTGAGTGAAAAACACAAATGGCAGAACATTGTATATGAAATGCCCCGTATTATGTTATTGTGAAAAAAGAGAGATGATGTATGTGTATACTTTTATGTGCATAGGCTGTGAGAGAACACATGAGAAAATGGCTAGCTCTGGGGAGGGAAATAAGGAGACAGGTAATGGGGACTCTTCATACTGTATGCCTTTTTTGTATGTTAATTTTTTTTTTAACCAGGTATACATTGTACCCATTCTAGAAGGTAAGTAAATGATTGTTAACTGTATTTTTAAACATGGGATCTGGAGTCTCATGACTTGAATTCAAGTCCCGGCTCCAATTCTTACTGGTTCTGTGAAGTTGCACACGTTATGTACCCTTCCTGTGCCCCACTTGCATGATCTGTAAAAGTTATAGTACCTACACCTACCTCATAAGAGCAGTGTGATGTTTAAGTCCAGTTCAGACACTGAGTACATTGTTGAGCACATATAGTAAGTATGTGTTAACTATTATTATTTCAGTATTTTTTTGAACACCATAACGGTATAATATTTGATAGTGTGATCACTTATATTCAAAACCCCGAAACAACACCTTTTGTAAATTTTGGTTATCAGTGGCATACACTCTATTTTACAACGTGTGGTCTTGTAGCAGAATAGAAGAAAACAAAACACTAGTGTTATCCGTCTGGATTTACAGCTCTATCAATCAGCAAAATGCATTCTTGTTTTCCCACCAATACATATTATATTTTTTTCTTTTTAGAAATGTGAACATAATTTGAGCAAGCCAGAATTTAATCCAACATCTATCAAATTCAAAATCCAACTGGTTGCTGTGTGAGTATTTTGGGCTTGGTTTTTAAAATTATTGTTTATATTTTGCTTTTGTTTGGTTTGGTTTCTCAATGTGAAATGTGTTTACTCTTGGCTTAAAAAAAGAAAAGAAATACATCAGAATAGTCTTCTTGCTGTTGTGTTTCTGTTTTGAATTTAGTTACATACCGTGAAGTTTAAGATAAATCTTCAGACTTAGAGTCAAAGGTGTTTGTATCAGGGACACAGTGGTCATAGGAGTGTGCTCTGTTGATTATTGGGTAGAGAGTCACTTGTCATTCATTGCAAAGGATAAAATACCTAAGTTCGGGAATGATCTTTTAAAAGTAAAGTAAAAATAGTAAAGTATAACAGATTGAATAGTATCCCTATATAGTTGTTTTATTTACTGGTGTTCTGATATACTTCACTGAATTGGAAAAAAGTGATTTAGGTTAGTGTCGACTTACTAGGACTTACCAGTCAAAGGGAATTTCGTATATAAAAATCACTTATCCAAGTAAAAAATTTTTTTTTTTAAATTAGGGAAATGTTTGTCTTTATTTTGGGGTGAGAGAGCCCTTCCTAAGCAAGGCAGGAAACACAGAAGCCACTAAGGAAGACAGACAGATTTGACCTCAGCAAAATGAAACATGAGTTGTAAGAGACAAAATAAACAGCAAAGTCATGAGACGGGCAGTGGAGCAGTAAAAAATATTTGCCACTCATGACGTATAAAAATTTCAATGTCCCTGGCATACAGTTCTACAAATTGGAAAGATAAAAAAGGAGGGAGAAGGTGGGGCAAAGGATTTGAACAAGCAGCTTACAGAAGAGGAAATTGAAATGGCTAACAACTATATGGAAAAATGCTGAGGCTTGAGAGTAAAAGTTCAAAAAATAAATAGTATCTAGTGCTAGCAAGGATGTGGGGAAACCTATGTTTGCACATTGTTGGTAGGATTGTGAATTGCTACAGCCTGATGTGGAGAGTGATCTGGGAATGTCAAGAGAAATTACATAGAATTTAACCAGCAATACTATCTCAGAAATCTGTTCTATAGAAACAAAAGCACCAGTATATAAGGGCATATTTACAAAGATGTGTATTGCAACATTTTAGTGGCAAAGAGCTGGAAATAATTTTTGTGTCAAGCTGATTAACCATCAGCAGGGAAATAATTGATCTACACTCACACTACAGAATATTATATAGCAGTTAAGAACAAGTCAGTGGCAGACAAAAAGGGCTAGTGAGTTAGGAAGAGCTAAGAAGGCCACGTATGAAGTCTGTCACTTACTGTGTGAGTCTCAACTTTAGTTCCCTCATCTCTGAGATGAGAGTAACCCCTGTGATGCCTCCCTCTCAGGGCTGTTGAGAAGAATCAAACTAATATGTTTACAAACGTTTTGTACTGTAAATCACTATAAAACATGTTCCATTTTCCTAACCACTCTTATTTAGTACATGACTGGTTAGGAATGAACAGAATGACAAAAATGGCACATATGAAGTCTGTTACAAGCTTCTTTTTTAATTTAAGAATTTTACTCGTTACAGAAACTCCGAATGGCAGACTGTGCTTTTAATATTGATTTCTTAAATTTGCTTTGAGGAAAAAAATGTTCTTTTTACTACAGCCTCAACGATAAAAAGATAAACAACCCAGTCACAAAAATGGACAAAGAACATGAATAGTCATTTCACTAAAGAAGATATACAAATGGCAAACAAGCACATGAAAAGATGCTCATTAGTCATTAGTGAAATACAAATCAAAACCACAATGAGATACCACTTCACGTTCACTAAAATGGCTATTATCAGAAGAGCAGAAAATAACAAGTGTTTGCCAGGATGTGAAGAAATTGGAACCTTCAGCCATTGCTGGTGGGAATGTAAAATGATACAGCTGTGGGAAAGTTTGGCGGTTCCTCATTACCGTATGACGCAGCAATTCCACTCCTAGGTATATGCCCAAAAGAACTGAAAGCAGAGACTCAAACAGATACTTGTACACCAATGTTTATTGCAGCATTACTCACAATAGCCAAAAGGTAGAAACAAGTATCTATCGAGATAAATGGATAAACAAAATGTGGTGTATACATACAATGGAATATTACTCAACCATAAAGAGAAATTAAGTCCTGATACATGCTACAACATGGATAAACTTTGAAAAGATTATGCTAAGTAGAAGAAGTCAGACACAAAGGGATAAATACTGTATGCTCCCACTTACATGAAATATCTAAAATAGGCAAATACATAGAGAGGAAAGTTTATTAGTGGTTACCGAGGTGGTGGGAGGGGGAAATGAAGAGTTACTGCTTAAGGGATACTGAATTTTGGTGAAAGGTGATGAAAAAAATTTTTTGAAATGGACAGTGGTGATGGTTGTACAACATAGTGAATGTAATTAATGTCACTGAATAGTACATATAAAAATGATTGAAATGGCAAATTTTTTATTATATTTATTTACACGGCAGCTTTTTTTTTTTTTTTTAAGTGCTCTTTTCATACATCATGGCAGAATTGCCTGGGAATCTTAATACAGATGCTCTGGCCACATTTGAGATCCGCAGAATCCAAATCCTTGGTAGTGGGCCCTTGAATTTGTATTAAGTTATCCAGGTAATACTGATGCCTAGCAGGAAGAACATCTGGTCTGAAGTTAAAATACGTTATTGCTTTGATTCTAAGATGTACTTTTTATTTTCACTTTCTGTTTCTGCAGTGTAAGATTTTGTCATATATAATAAACCAAACCCATTACTGTCAACTCAATTCCTGTGTTTTTGTTTTAAGCACTGTTCTAAGCACTTTTTGCATGTGTTATCCAATTTATTCTTTACAAAAATCTCAAGAGATAGATATTATTGTCTTCATTTTATGATTAAGAAAACTAAGGCACAAAGAAATTAATATCTTGCTCCAAATCACATAGTATATAAAGGCTAAGCTGGGATTTGAACCTGGGCAGTTTTGAGTCTAGAACATGCACATTTAAGTACAATATTGTTGTCTGTTTAGAGAGGCAGCATAGCATAGTGGTTAAAAGCAAGGACCCTGGAGTCATATTGCCTGGGTTTGAGTCTTGATTCTGCCACTTACCAGCAAGTTACTCTTCCTCCCTATGTCTGGTTTCTTCATTTGTATAATGGGGATAATAATAATACCTATCTCAAGAGGTTACAATGGAGATTACTTGAGTTAATATTTGTAAAGTGCTTAGAACAGTGTCTGGCACATAGTAAGTGCTGTATAAGTGTTTGGTAAGTATGTGGCAGTGTTAACACCCCTAAAATGTAGTATTAAATCAGCCTTGGATCTTAGAATCAGTCACCTCTTTAGAATTACACAAATGAATTAATAAAATAAGATCGCAAAAAAATATATTTAATAAATGTATAAGGGAGACATTTGCCATGACACACAAACATATGAGATGTATACTAGAAGTACACATAAGATTTTAGATGGAACTCATTACCAGTTTGGTTTCATGTCATGTCTTAAGTGCTTTCTTAAGTGCTTCTTATCACAGTGATGGTCTAATTCTTTAAAATTCTTTTTCCATAATATGTTCTAATTAACATGAAATATGTTATTTGCTGCACTAGCTAAAAAAATAATAATTTTAAGGAATTCTGGTGAATATTAATGTATATTTTTAATTCATGCATAGCAATTATATCCCAGAAGTGAGAATCATGTCAATTCCCAACCTTCGCTACCTGAAGGTTAGTACCTTACTTATTAACAGAAAAAGAAAGAATTGATCAAAGCTGCATGAATGTGTGTATGTTGGTGGTTGTGTGTGTGTTTGGCACAGGGATGCATGAACAAGGGATAGAAAAGAAAAAAACTTTGGAATTATAAAGGGACTGCAGCTTTTTCTTTAGACTGGGATTCCTGACAACAGCATCTTTGGAATGTATATATAAGGAGCAGTGTGCATATATTATAGAGGTGGAATCATAGGTGGGGAAAGGAAAGGAGAAGATGTTGGCCCCACAGGCATCTTTAGCTCCTTTTCTCCTGCTGGGGGTGGGGAGGGATTCTTTACCATCGTGTGTGTGTCTGTGTGTCTGTGTGTGTGTCTGTGGCTGTGGCTGTGTGTTTGTCTCTGTGTGTGTGCATGTATGTGTGTGTGATAACAGAAATCAGCTAGATTTCTTCTTTGCTGGTGCCCCTCTCTACCTTGGGGTCCTCATCTACACTCCTTGCCACCACATGTACCCCATTTAATTGTAGAATATTCTGTAACAGCCTCTTTAGCTCTTTTCTTTCATGATGTTCATGAAGACATTTCTATCTGTAGTCCCTGTTCATTTTAAAGATTTTGTTGCTTATCTCAAGGGAGTATAAACAAGTACAGATTATCATAGTTTAAGAAATGTTAAAAGGCTTTTACAATCTTGTGCCTTTTTTTTTTTAATGTTAGTACATCTGGCTAGCCTGTGGCTCCCATATTCTATTTATGAGGACTTCCTTCTTTTCAGGCCTTAAGTGGCAACCTGGGTGGGGCAAGAGTTGTAAATTATTAAACGTCAAGTAGTATGCATTCCTGAGAATTTCTGGACCTAGTAATTGGCCCTTTCTATAGGATCAGTCCTATTTCCTCAGGAAATAGCAACTCCAAAGAATATATAGTATAACTCTAAATCGTAGGTGTTATTGCTCAGGAGTAATCAAAGAGTGATGATTTTGTGGAATATCTGATGTAGCAACTAAGAAAGTAAATCTATGTGGCAGTATATAGCATGTCTAAGAGATGTTTTTCCTGTTCCCCAGGAGAGCCAGGTGCTCCTGACTCTAACAAATCCGGTGGAGAACCTCACCCACGTGACTCTGTTGGAATGCGAGGAGGGGGACCCTGACAATATCAGTAGCACTGCTAAGGTAAGAAATATTTTGCTTCATCCTGACTGAACCTAACTTTGCCTGGAGTGGCCTTGTTTGACCTGTCTTAAAGGACTGTACACTGTCGTTCATCGCCACAACCAAGTAGTCATCAAGTTCTTTTGATTCCATTTCCTAAGTTTTTTACTTTATCCCCAAACACACTGCCATCTGCTCTAGTTGAGACTCTTATCACATCTTACCTGGACTGTGACAAACACTTCCTAACTGATCTTGCTGTTTTTAGCCCACTCCCTACCTCCAGTGCAGCCCATTTTTTCATATTGCTGCCAGGGTGATCTTTCTAAAATTGTTGGCTTCTCTCTAACTTTGGCCTAGCGTAAGAGCTCCCTAATGACGTCACCTCTGTCTGTTCTTCCAGCATGATCTTCTCCCAAGTCCCCACATTTACATTCTCCAAATAGTACAGATTAATGATTGTGATCTAAGCAGATCAATGGGTTATGAACTTTCATGTCTGGAGAGTTGCATATGCTATTCATTTTACCTAGAATGTGTCCTGCTATCCACACTCCCCTAATACACTCACTCATTTCTTTTAATCTAACAGATACTCATTCTTCAAGAGTCATATCAAATATCATCTCCTTTTAAAAGCTGCTATGCCTCTTCTAGATTCCCTCAGCTTATATAAAGTACACATAGCACTAACTAAATATTAAGGAACCCTGGTGGTTCAGCTGCTAACCAGAAGGTTAGTGGTTCAAATCCACCAGTGGCTCTGCGGAAGAAAGATGTGGTAGTCTGCTTCTGTAAAGATCTGTAGCCTTGGAAACCCTATGGGGCAGTTCTACTCTGTCCTGTAGGGTCACGGAGTTGGAATTGACTTGACGGCAATGGGGTTTAACTAAATATTATAATGGGTGAATTTGACTCTCACTAAGTGTTTGTTAAATGGATAAAATGTGGCCTTTCTACATTTTGTCTCTTAGTGATTCATCTAGTACTTAAAATTTTAGATCAAGAACGTTTCTCTACATACCATCTATTCCTTATTCTTAATTCAGCATAGTACTCGTTACATTCATACTTGTAACTGCAGTCAGCCAGATATTCTAACAACAGTAGAAAGGACCCCTGTATCAATACTTATTATTATAGAATTTCCCCACACCCTTTTTCTTTTTCTTCTGCTAGTTTTTAACAATTTCACTTACTAGCATCACTTCCAAAGAGAGGAGACGACATTTGTACCTCTCCTTTGCTCCTCTTTTTAATAACACTAATAAGCACCTCCACTAAGGACAGAGACAGAAATAAATGCCTGCTGCTTATAACTAGCTTGTAGATTTGCTGTCTTTCTCTCTCTTTACACCTCCTCCTGCCATATTTGTAGCCATAATTGCAAATTTGGTTGACATTGCTGTCAGTCTGTAACATAGCAAAGTTGAGGCCTAGTTACAACCTAAGTCTGAACAATCCTTAACCGTTTTCTGTGACCATAAACATACCCAGCATCCCCATTTCAGAAAATATCCAATGTTGGAACAATGTTTTTGTTTTTCTTTTTTTAAAAAATGATGAAATGTTTCCGATATACCAAAAAGCATAGAGACTAATATAGCAAACACCCATGTAACTGCCTCCCCGCCCCTTAAGAAATAAAACATTAAAAAGACAGTTCAGCCCCGGTGTATCTTTTCCAGTTGAATTCATCATTGCAGCCACAATGAAGTAACCACTCATTTGACTTTATCATTCCCTTGAGTTTCTCTGTTCTTACGCTTTTACTTGAAATGTATATATTCTGAAACTGTTTTAAAACACCATGTAATTAATATAATGCTGTATGTTTCCTGAAACTTGCCGTTTACATATACAGTAAAGCCTGCAAAAGCCAGAACCTGTGTAAGGCAGAAAGGAAAGAAAGAAAGAAAAACTGTCAGAAAAGGAAAACTCAAATATTTTGCACCAAAGTGAGTGTGGAAAAATGGTAAGACTGCACCCTGTCAAAGGTGGAAAACTTGCAAGACCTCGAAAAACCAAGGCAGTCCCGTCAGGTTCAGGCTCTCCCAGGTTTCACTGTATGTGTCTAGATTGATTCGGTGCTTTGCTGCATTGCACTGAATGAACATACTACTGTGCATTGACCCTTTCTGAGCCAGGCCTCTTTGTTGTTGCTCTCCAGGTGGTAGTGCCTCCCAAAGAACTCGTTTTAGCGGGCAAGGACGCAGCAGCAGAATACGATGAGTTGGCAGAACCCCAGGACTTTCAGGATGACCCTGAGTGAGTGATCTTTTTGTGATACACCCCCCTCACACGCACACCACAATTGGCTGATGTAGGATGCCCACTTATGTATCCCAGTTTTTTTATCTGGCTTATTTTAAAATAGATTTTTCTTTCTTTTTTAAAAAAATAAATACTGTGGAAAATTTATGAAGCAATGAAGAAGAAAATAAAATAAAAATTACCCATTATCACACCAGAAGAGGTAAACACCATTAACATTTTGGTGTTCGTCCTTCCAGATATGTCTTCCATCTTTGGGATCATTCTGTAAATATAATTTTTTTGCCATTGTTTTTCACTTAAATATTTTTATATCTTTTCATGTTAATGAAAGTTTTTCAAGTACCTGATTTCTAGTGGATATGATATAGGATATAATATTCTGTCCCTGTAGATTAACCATTGGATTTGTTCCCACCCTCCCCCTTAGAGTAATTAATAGATTTTACTCTGTCATACCTAATAACTGAGAAGTAAAAAAACCAAACCTTTTCCTGAATAGGGAATATATCAGTCAGGATTCAGTCTAAAGACATAAATTGCATCAATTATTTGAACAGAGGAAATTTAACACAAAGGATTGTTAAGTAGGTTAAACATGTTAAATGGGTAACTGAAAGGGTAAGAGAGAACTCTAGAGTATCCCAGAGGTAGCAACTTTATGAAGCAGCTACCACCGCTATGCTGAGGGAACAAAGGGAAATGGTTAGAGTTATTAAAATTCAGAAGCTTGAAGGAGGAGCCCCTTAGAGCTGAAACTCAGACCTCTGGGGATGGTGGAGGGAGCACTGGCATCTCAAGGTGGCAGAGGAGGGGTGGCATGGTGAGGCTGATTATGCAAGAGTTAGAAATCTGCAAATGGATACTGCCACTTCTGGGGTGAGGAAATATTGCTGAAGTGATGGGCGTAGGAATTACAAACAAACAGGAAGCTCACAGAGAGGAGCAAGGCCTTACTTCTTCCAGGCTTCCAGTCTCCTGTTAGAGCCGCTATTGACAGATCTTGACAGGAACCAGCCCACAAAGCAGAAATGTGTTTAGCAGAGTTCTATGTCACAAAGCAGGGTCTAGAAAGGTGGATTTGGAGTTAAAAGACATTAGCTTAATAAACAGGCACAGAGACCATTTAAGGGTTTTTAGCAGAATGATTGACAATTCCCTCAGCAAGCTGCTGGAGAAAAGAGAGAACCTGGGGAGAGTTGGAAAAATAAAGAGAAGGTGAGATTAGTAGAGTGATACCAAACTTAGATTAACTTGAGAAAGCACCAGGGCAGGTGCTTTGTTTTGTTTTTATTCTTTAGAGTCCGAGATCCCATCCCCAGAGATTCTCTTTTAGCAGGTCTAGAAATCTAAATTTTTTGAAAAAGCTCCCCAGGTATTACTGGTTGCTTGGGAAATTAAGAGTGAGAGAGAACAGCTTACATTTTACTTTATACTGTTCTTAACTTTGAATTTGTTTTCACATGAATTTGATATAAATCTAGGGTTTGGTTAGTTAGTACAATACAAAATACATTCTCTGAAATCCTTGCTTTTTGTGGGTCATTTCACCACCATCAGTTGCCGTCAAGTCGATGCTGACTCATGGTGACCCCATGTATGTCCTTAAATTATATTAATTAGATATACAAGTTTGTTAAGCCAAGGTAAACTTCTGGGAAGATATTCCGATATATCATAAATTCCAGTCAGGTACATGATGGATTAGTAGAAGAATTAATTATATTTTACAACAATGTATTTTACAGAACTTTAAAGTATCTGGAAATTAATACTACATAATACTGTATAAATATGCAAATGTTTGATTCCAGTGACTTTTGTTAGAGTAACTGAATAGCATTTGGATAGTCAATCAAATTCTGCTTATTTTGTTGCCCTTTTATTTATTGAAGCTAAGTGATTAAGAGGCACCAACTTGACAGCACCTAACAACAACAACAGGTGATTAAAGCATAAACTTCAAGTGCTTGTGAGAAAAACCTGAAATGGAAACCGCAACTGGAGAGACTTTTTTCTATTCTTAAAATACATAAAATTTACAGAGGTTATTTACAGAAAACACTGACTTACTGTATTTCAGAAATTCCCTTAAAGCTCTGAGTTCTTAAAACTTCCCACAGTTCAGTCTATATCTAATAAAAATATTACCAACACATGTGCACAAAGATCAGTGTCAAGGGATGTTCACAGCAGCATTGTTTATAATAGGAAAAAATTGGCAACTTCAGTGTATACCAATTATGGTAAACATATGATAGAGTACTGTGTAATCATTAAAAGAATGAGGATGGTCTATATATAACAACATGAAAAGATGGTTGTGTTATATTAAGTGGAAAAAAAAGTTATGAAGTGGTACGCCCCATTCGTGTTTTCTAAAAAATCAGAGAAGTGTAAGTTCGTAGAAAATATCTGGTAGGGTAAGAACCAAACTGTTTACAGTTTTCTTCTGGGAAGATGGTGTATTGAAGGGGAGAATAAGGGGAAAGACTTTAACTTTTTCCTGCTTGAATTTTTTGTGGGTGTATTTTACTTTTGTAATATTAAAAAAAAAAATTAAGAGATCGACATTTTGCTGAAGAAGAAACTCTTCATTGCCAATAAATGGGTTGGTGGTCAGATCTTGTCATAGAGATTTCCTGTTGTGCCATAAAATGTAAGTTTTAGTGGTTTGACAGTCTTGTGACCTAATGCTGTACTTATTTCCTCCTGTAGCATTATAGCCTTCAGAAAGGCCAACAAAGTGGGAATTTTCATCAAAGTTACCCCACAACGTGAGGAGGGCGAAGTGACCGTGTGCTTTAAGATGAAACATGATTTTAAAAACCTGGCAGCACCTATCCGCCCTATCGAAGAAAGTGACCAGGGCACAGAAGTCATCTGGCTTACTCAGCATGTGGAACTCAGCTTGGGCCCACTTCTTCCTTAAAGGGTTCCATTGGTAGGCAGATCCCAAAGGACAGTGTCTACACTAACCCATGTTAAAATATCAAAGCCACTGCTCCGTTAGGGCTTGTTTATTAACAATGTACTCATGCACTACTGAATCCTATTTGTAGGCAAGTGGGAGCATAGGCAAGGCATTAGGAACACAGGGAAACTACCGTTCCTCTTGCTGTCCCTTGTGTAACACCAGTAAACATGTGTCTCCCTCACCAGTCCCTGCACGTTGACTAACAACAGCATAGATCCATCCCAAGAAAAGGAGACAGCTGTTCCTTGGAGTGGTGTTACATTTACCACCTGAGATCTCTGACTGTAACGTCTCCCAGTTTGATCTCACAGATGAAACTTAAAGTGATAACCCAAAGGTGGACCTGCTCCATTATGGCCCAGCATTGGTCTCAGTCTACCAGCTGCTTTTTGCATTGCATTAGATAAAATCCTCAGTCTGAACATGTCCCTTCACTTTCCATCATGGCTCCCATCTTGCTGTAGATTGCCATTTGACCAAAAAAAAAAAAAAAATAGAATTGTCACATTGTCTTTAGCTTTGTGATGATTGGAACAACCTGTGAAATTCTTAAGGCGCTCTCATTTGCTCTCTTCATGAAAACAGAACAGGACATTTTTATTTATTGATTGCTCTTAAATGTTTTCCTCAGTAGAATATGAAACTTTGTCTTTTAAGAAGAATTTGAGAAGCAGATAATTACATGTTACGTCAAGGGGCTGGCAAATTCTATTCATTTAAATGTTGCCATAATATCCAGGGAATAATACTGCCACAGGGAGGTAATCTTGGTGTGTCTTACTCCCAACCCCTACTACTCTGCTTCTTTAACTCCGTAAATTATTCAGAGTATTTGGGACCTGGAAAGAGTCCAAAGAAAACTTGAGTGAACAAGTTCACTCCCAGAATGCAGAAGACATTTTTAAGGTTAGGGGTTTTTTAGGCATCATCTGAACTAATGCCCTCTCCATTGATTTGAAGGGGAAGTTGACAGTTACAATCTCAATCCAAAACTGGATATGAAGAAAGAACCTTTTCCCCTTCCTGAAGTTATGACTTTTATCATATGATGTGTCAAGATCATTTTGATTGTAAACCATAAAATTGGTTCGGCAGATAGCCCAGAATGCTGGCCAAACAGCACACATGGTGTTTCCCTTGATATCCTGGAGTCGGGTTGCTAACCTTAATGCCTGTGATGTTTTCTAAAATGAGACTTGACAAAATATACCACCAGCTGCACTACATTTTCAGTAAATGTATTGTTAGCAAGTGGCCAACAGACATTTGGAGGAGAGAAATTTCCCGCTTACCCTGGTTTTGTTTTTAATTTGAGGTCTTTTGTTTAAAAAAAACAAACTGTAATCTAGACTACAGACAGGACAAAGTAACTTGTCAGCTCCCCCTTGAAAGATAAAAATATCTAGGAAGCCTTTGAAAGACACTAAATTGTACTCTTAAGGTCAAGTCAATTATAAAACAATATTCCTACAGAGTAATATATATGCTGCAGTGTAAGAAAAAATTATTCATATCTGTAATCTGACAATGATAAATAGGGTTTAGCCTCTTAGGAGTTGGGGTAGGGATTGGATAATCACTAATTTGCAGGCTATAGGAAGAGTTGTAAGTTTTTGTAACCTCACAGAGTGTCGATGTAATTTTTTTTTCACTACTTATTAAAGCCTACTCTAAAGCCACTGCTCCATAATCGCCAGGGTAGGAAATGGGCATCAGAGTAGAGAATAGCTTCACATGTTTACGCATTTGCATAGAAGACACACAGTTGTATGTCATGTGTTTATGGCTTAAAGCTGGTATGTGTTCCCAAAAGTAATAATGTTAATGGGTCTCATTCTCCCACAAAAACAGTTTTGATCATAGAATAATTATTTCTTCAGAAGCCAAATTAACTTGCAGAATAACAGAGCCATGGGTTTAATGTTTCCTCAAGGTAGTTTTTAGTATAAGCTGGTATTTTATGTGTTCATAGAAATGGTTCCTAATTCAGCTGGTGAATTAGAAATTGTATTTGTTGCTTTTTTATATTAGGTCGGGTGTAAGATTGTTTAATGCATAGTCAGTGTGGACTACTATAGGAGAATTAGATGCCATTTGCACTTGAAATTATAATTTTGGAAACTTAAGTCTCAGTTAAGTCAGATTTGTGATTTGATTAACCCACCGAAGTTTTCTTTTGTTCAGAGTGCTAATAGGTGTAATGAGCTGAATGTCATCCATATTTGTGAAGAAACATCTCTTTTGGTCCTTTTTGGGAATAAGAGGCACTACTTAATGTTTGTTAATGACAGATGACTGTTTTGCCTTATTGCTTAACTTAATGTAGTGAAATAAAGCAGATGAAGCTTGAGTGTGTCTTTTGTTTGGGTTCATGAAGACTGAACTGACATGACTCAGAGTCAAGATGGAGGAAATCGAGAGCTGGTATATGAAAATCATTGGGGCATGCTGCTAAAACTTCATATCAGATTAGTTCACTAGAACATTATATAGGTAGATGTGGCTTGAGCTCTTTGTAAACATGTTCTCAGAACCGTTAGATAAATGCTATTTTGTTAGTTCTCTACCAGCTTTGATCTTGGGTCATTGCTACCCAAAGATATCCTTCCAAATATACAAAATAGTCCAGTCCGACAGGTAGCCACTCACCTTCATCTGTACCCATATGCTCTTCCCTCCTAGTACTCTAGGTGAATTGTTCATGCTCCTCCCATCTAAAGCCAGCACCACCACTTAATGTACTAGATTCCAACCTCATGCATATTCAAGGACATCACATCAGCAATTCATCCCTGCCTCTGCTGCCTCATAATTTTTCCCTTTTCTGAATCATTTCCATCAACATCCTTTGATTTTTTTCATCTTAAAAAAAAAATGACCTCATACCCTCTTCAGCTGTTTTCCCCCATTTACTTCTTTAATACAAAACTATCTCTGCCAACCAGCTCCCCTCTCTCTTCCCATTCTCACCTGAACAATTGCAGTTCTGCTGTCACCATTACCACATCACCAAAACTGCTCTTGTCAAGGTCACCAAAGATCTCCACACTGCCAAATACAACTGTCAAGTCTCAGTCTTTATCTACTTAACCTTCCAGTGGCATCTGACAGTTGACTCGCCCATCTCTTTGAAACTCTTCACTTAATTTCCAGGACACACTCCTGGTTTTCTTTCTACCATACTGGCAACTTTTCTTCCATATCCTTTGCAAATTCTTCTCCATCTCAACCCTGACATGTGCCAGGTCATGTTTTTACTGCTTCATTTCTCTCTGCACTCACTCTTAAAGATCTCACCCAGTTTTCAGGCCATCTCCCAAATTTAAATGCAAACTCAAAAATATTCTCTGAAAGTCCAAAACCGCAGTCTGAATTTTCCCTTACCACATCTGCCTCTCCTGTAGTTGTCCCGAACTAAATGGCAACTATATCCTTCCAGTTGCTCAGAACAAAGACCTTAGCACCACCCTTGATTCCTCTTACATATCACATCCAATAACTCAGCAAATCCTGTCAGCCCTACCTTCAAACTGACCACACTATCTCCACCATTACTATACTGGGCCAAGCCACGATCTTCTTCATAGACCCTTAGGTTATTAAAGTAGTATCCAAACTAGTTTCCCTGAAACCACCCTGATCTCGGCCCCCACTCTTTAGTCAGTTTTCTACTCAGCAGCCAGAGTGATTAAGTCATACCTCTTCTCTGCTTAAGACCCTTGGAAGGCTTCTTAGCTTGCTCAAGTGAGAAATAAAAAGTCCTTACCATAGCTTATGAGGTACATGATCTGAGACCCACCCCTTAACCTCCACCTCCCAAAATTCGTGTATTCTTACCCTCATGCTCCACCCCAGTCACACTAGCCTCTTCGCTGTTCCTGAAACAT